GAAAGAAGAAAGAAAGAAAGGAAAGAAAGGAAAGAAAGGAAAGAAAGGAAAGAAAGAAAGAAAGAAAGAAAGAAAGAAAGAAAGAAAGAAGGGAGGGAGGGAGGGAGGGAGGGAGAGGGAAAGATGGAAAGAAGAAAGGAAGGAAGGAAGGTAGAAAAGAGAGAGGGAAGGAAGGAAGGAAGGAAGGAAGGAAGGAAGGAAGGAAGGAAGGATAGAAAAGACAGCCAGTAAAGAGCAGGGGAGCATGAGGCAGGCTGAAATTGAAGATGTCAGCAGAGGTGGCCTTTCAGAGGCTGGGGGCTGTGTTATACTTCTTGCCTTTGGCCATAAAGCAATGGGAAGCTCTTGGCCGATTTTAAGCAGGTGGCCAACCTGCATTTCAGAAAGTCCACTCTGACTGCAGTAGGGAGAATCACTTACAAAGGGTCAAGAGGGGATGGGGGTGGGCCAGTGAGTGACCCTGGAAGGCTGGTGATGGCATGCACTAAGGTGCTGATGGAGAGAGGCAGAGAGGGTCAGCGTTGGTGAGGTTCACAAGGTCAAACCACAGAACTCAATGATGGGTTTGATAGGAAAGGGAGGGAGGCAGATGTTAAGCCCCATCTGTACTTTGGCCTCGAGTGACTGATGGTACCAATCATGAAATGCGGACAACTGGGGAGAACAGGCTTACAGAGTAAGGTCACGGGCTTGATGGTGGACAGTTGAGTTTCAGGTGTCTTTAAGATACCCAAGAGAGGTGTCAAAAAGCAACTGGGTCTGGGGCAGCCATGAGTTCTTTTCCCTTCTTCTCTCTCACGGCCTTTCTTCTCTTCATCACAGAATCATCCGGACCAAAGTGCAGCAACCATTCAACCTCCCTATGGATAGCTGTGTGGCCACCAAGTCCCTGAGCCCCGGACACACGCTGAGTGAGTGCTGAGGGACCTGGGTGCACACACATCCCCCTGTACACCTCCCCTTTGGCGTACCCATATATACACAGAGCACACACAGACATACCCACACAGACATAGCCGTGCACAGCACTACTCACAAACCCATGTGCCTGAGCTGTGCCATTGCAACAAAGCCTGGCCTGTTCCCAGGGCAGATTCACTGAACTATGGAGAGGTGCAAACACTTGAGACAGCTCTGACACCAAGAACCCCTTCCGCCAGCAGGCCCCCTGGAGGAAGGACCTGAGCCCCTCCAGGACTTAGTCCATGGCTCGGTTTGCTGCCTCCTCCGCAGCGGCAGCAGGGGCTGTGAGTGGTGTCACTTCCACCCCCTGACCCTCTCCCTCTCCCCCCACCGCAGTCCCCAGCTCAGCTGTAACTCCCCCGGAGTCACCCCAGTCGGATTCCCTGGGCTCCACCTACTCCATCAATGGGCTCCTGGGGATCGCTCAGCCTGGCGGTGACAAGAGGAAAATGGATGACAGTGAGTGCTGGGGGACAGGATGGCAGTTGGGGGTGCACGAGGGCAGTTTGCTCAGGCTTTGAGGGGGACAGAAGCCCTTCCACATATGGCATGGGACTTTGTAGGGGCTCTGCATGAGACTGTCACTTGTTCTGTCCCTCAGCTGGCCAAGGCTCCTGAGCCCAGGTGGCTGGCCCTTTTTCTCTCTCCACAGTGGGTCAGCTTGGAGTCAGTCCTCTGCTTTGGGCTAGGAGATGAGTAGATAGGTCCCCTAAAAGCTTTCTTCCTGCCCTGGGGGTACCAGGTGACCAGGATAGCTGCCGGCTGAGCATTGACTCACAGAGCAGCAGCAGTGGACCCCGAAAGCACCTTCGCACGGACGCCTTCAGCCAGCACCACCTCGAGCCGCTCGAGTGCCCATTTGAGCGGCAGCACTACTCGGAGGCCTATGCCTCCCCCAGCCACACCAAAGGCGAGCAGGTGAGAAGCTGGGCCCTGGGAGGTGAGCAGGGCGGGCAGGAGCCAGAGCAAGGTGTGCTCTCCAAATGAGCCTACGCTTCGCCACCAAAGTAGCTGGAAGCTGCATCAATGGGCTCAGGGCACATGCCTCATGCAACTCCAAGCCTGACACTTGCTTTATTTCACCAGATGCCCTGGTATCTTCCTCTCTTTATAACCCTCATGGTTTCCTTCACCCTAAACTGTTGAGCCTGGACCTTTCAGGGAGGGCAGCACAACCTGATGATGCCATCTCTTGCCATCAGCGTCTTCCCCAGATCTCAAGGTCGGCTTCCACAACTCCGAAGCAGCAGCATGAAGCCTCCACACAATGACCTCAGTCACCTTCCTAGCCCCACCTTCGGCCACTCACCCTGCACACCCCATGCTCTTGCATTACTCATGGCCCTGAGCAGGCCACCCTTGCTCACACCTCTCTGCCTTCGCACGCCGTGTGCCCTCCGCACAGAATGCCTTTCCTCCCACTTCTCTGCATGGAAAAATACCACTGGCCTTCATGACTCAGCTCAAATATCACCCTCTCTGTGAGTCCTCCCCTGCCCCTCCGACATGAATCATCTCTCCTGCCTCTTGTACTTCTGCATGTCCCACGTGCTGCTCTCAGTAGCCTCTCACAGTGTCACTTAATAATCTAGCAGACAGAGAGGTACAAAGACACGCAGACTCCTTAAGGACAGGGAAGCCTCACGAAACATGAAACGTCGTTTTTATTCCCAGCACCTACCATTGTGCCCCCCTAAATAACAGACAGTAATGGTACAGTGAATGAATGAACAAATGAATGAGTTGAGAAATCCAAAACAATAAATCACAAGCTACAGGGAATTTTTCTTGCTAGTGCTCAGGACAGGTGAAATGGATCATAACAGGTTGGCTTCTGTGAAAAGCTGACAGAGATGTGAGAGGTCCCACCCCCAAGGCCAACAAACACTCCAGCTCTGGCAGAACCATCGAGCTCTCAGTCCCCGGTTGTCACATCTTCTCTCCCCTTAACCCCACCAAGTCAACCAGATGAGGAGTGTCTTCAGGGTGGTGTCTGTTGCCCCTCTTTGCTCATGCCGTCATCTGCTGCAGGAGTGAGGCAAGCCCATATGCCTTTAAGAACTGGGTAGTACAATGGAGATGATGCCAATAACCAGCCCAACCACTTCCAATGACCGTCTGGGCTGCTGGCCCCATGCCAGCACTCGCAGCTGGGCAAGCAATCTGCATCAGCGATTTTATCAGCTTTGATTGTGGCAACCACGAGGGTGCAGAAAAAGCTGGCCGTCAGCAGCCAGTGAGAGAGGCTGGGTGCTCACCCACGAGTCAGCACACAGGTCCAGGAAGGAAAGGGGGCTGCAGTGGGGAGGCCTGCAAGAAGCTCGCTTTGTGAGAGCAAGCCTGCAAAACTCAGTGTGCAGGCACCAGCCGCCCAGTGAAAGTAAAGAAACCCTGCTGATGAGACTCTGGACACCCACTGAGTCCCAGAGCCATTTCCTGGCTCCATCCCTAAGCCCTCCAAAGGACCCTACTTGGCTACAAAACGCCCCTATGCCATGCTGGCATATGAACATGAGGGATCCTGGAATGAGAGAGTCTTTGAGCTTGCAGGGACCTCTGTGACCACCTAGTCCAGTTTTGTGGAGATAATCCAAGGCCAGGGAAGACAAGGAGAGCTTGGGGAAGCAGGCTTTGGAGCTTAGGCCTGCCAACCCTTGTTTCATTCAGACTAGTCCGCTGTCACCTGCTTCAGATACGGTGCGTCTATGTAAGTTCTTATTTGGAGACTGAAAAAAAAAAAGCATTTGAAAACCATTAAACTTCTCCAACCACTCATCTTTCAGATGAGGAGACTGAGGTCCAGCAGTGTCCACAAATTATTCACTACCCCTCGGTCAATTGTGACTCACCCAGTCATTTACCTGGAGGGCGGTAAAGAGCAGGGAGAACCAGCCAGTGCAAAGGCCCCTCATGTCCTGCCTGGCCTTTGTTTTTCCCACCTCCGGTGACTGACTGTGCTGCCAAAGTAACACTCTGTGCTCTCTCACCTGGGCACAGGAAGACCCTCTGTCTCGGGGAGCCAAGAAAGAAGCAGAAATACTCACACCTAACCTTAGGACAGGTTGTAACATAGCCATCTTTTCTGTAAAATCAACAAGTGGGGGACCGGGCATGGTGGCTCACACCTGTAGTCCCAGCACTTTGGAAGACCAGGGTGGGTGGATCACCTGAGGTCAGGAGTTCGAGACAAGCCTGGCTAACATGGCAAAATCTCTACTAAAAATACAAAAGTTAGCCAGGCCTGGTGGCGTGCACCTGTAATCCCAGCTATTCAGGAGGCTGAGGCAGGAGAATCACTTGAAACCGGGAGGCAGAGGTTGCAATGAGCTGAGATTGTGCCACTACACTCCGGCCTGGGTGACAGAGTGAGACTCCATCTAAAAAACATAGCTAGAAGTCCATACAGCTCTGTTTCCCTATTTTACAAATATATTTTAAAAATCAACAGAATATGAATATCGGTTTATTGACAGAAATCAAAAATGTGGTCTGACTCTTCACATGATTCTGAAATAGTATCTATGATAACTCTCACTGGGTATCTGTTGTCACCAAGTATTCAGTGCTAAGCACTTTATATAAGAATATAAAATGTCATGTAATGCCTACATCAGCCTCATAGAGTCTATGATTCCTATACAGGTGAAAAATTAAGCTTCAGAGCAGTCAAGAAGACTAAAGCTATTTGGCAGGTCATTGCAGAACCAGGGCTCAGACTCGCTGAAGTTCTGAAGCACTGTACTGCTCTGCCCCAATTCAAGTTCAATTCCAGTTAAAAAGCCCAATAATCACTGGGATTTTTCAGCCATTGAATAGAAAATCACCAAAGGGTTTGACTATACAGTACAGGTTTTTTTTTAAATTCTTTTTTCACTAAGTTACTTGGATTTTGAAATAGCTGTAGGATTCTGAGTAGATATTTTGCTGTCAAAACAACACATCCATAAAGCATTTTAAACTCTTCATACACTCTAGAAATTAGGTATTTTGTTCAATTTCATTAAGCCAGGCCCTGGCTTGGCACGGTGGCTCACACCTGTAAACCCAGCACTTTGGGAGGCTGAGGTGGGTGGATCACGAGGTCAGGAGTTCAAGACCAGCCTGGCCAACATGTTTAAACCCCATATCTACTAAATATACAAAAAATTAGCCAGGTGTGGTGACCCATGCTTGTAATCCCAGCTAATCGGGAGGCTGAGGCAGGAAAATCGCTTGAACTAGGGAGGCAGAGGTTGCAGTGAGCTGAGATTGCGCCATTGCACTTCAGCTTGGGCAACAAGAGTGAAACTTTGTCTCAAAAAAAAAAAAAAGCAAGGCCCTAAGCAACTCCACCCTGCCTCTAAGTGGGCCCCCTCGGAAGGCATGGAACCAGAACACCATTTAGTCAGTAATTGCTGCTATGTGCTAATGGTGCCCTGGTGGCCTCCAGAATTGACTGTAGCTTCCAAAAGTGCCCAGCGTGCAACCGGAAAATGCTGTGGATCTTTGCAGAACCCAGCTCCATGGAAATCACTGAAAACAATTGCTTTTCGTGGCACTGTTATGTAACCACTGAGCATTCCCTGATTTCAGCTTTGCACATCTCACGTAGCGGGTATGTGACGTGCATGATGGTATGTGGAAAATGGGTGTGTTCTTTTTTCTGTGCTATCTCCCTGGTAGGTGGAGGCCATGGTGAGGATGAGGTACATTTGCCTTTAGTTAAACAAGTTCTTTTTGGAAGGAGTACCTAAGGCTATAGCTGTGCTCCTGGCAAGGGAAGGCATCTAAAATGAGGTCTTAGGTGCTTGATAAAGAGTGTTTCCAACAAAAACAACTCTAAATATCATTTTCAAGCTGAACTTCTATTTGTTTGGATGTGGAGAGAGAAAAGAAGAAATCCACATGGTGGGTAAAGCACCTGGGTCCACAGCCAAAATCCTGGGTTTAGTCCCAGTTCATTACACAAAACTGGGCCATGTACCTCTCTGAGCTCTAGGCTCCACATATAAAAAACAGACATAGTATTACTCGCCCATGTCACAGGGCTGCTGGGGGACTCCACCAGGACAACAGAGGCAAAGCTCTGATGAAAACTCTTTGCAATTATAAGAGGTGGCCCTTATGTCACCCAGTTTAGGACAGTGGTTTAGAGGAGAGGCATTCGGATCCCTTGAGTCTGACTCCTGTCTTTGCCCCATATGGAAGTGGGACACGTTTCTTAAACCTCTGTGCCTGGGTTCCCTATCTGGGGAAGACTAAATTAACAGATGGGAGCACCCTGAACAGTCCAGTCAGAGACTGCTCGGGTCCTTGGCACCATCCGGTACTCTGTGGGTCTCAACAGTGTGGTGAACAAAGAAGGAGACCAGCCATCCAGCCAGAGTGTGATCCTCTGGCAGAGACCCTCTATCCCACGCCTGGGCACCCATGCCACCAGCTGGCCTTGAAGCCCAGGGATGCGGGAGGACAATGAGGACAAACGAAATGTGCTGAGTGGAGTTGATAATGTAAAGGAAGAAGGGAATGACGAGGAAATCTCCTGGGGAGATGAAGGTGGTCAAGTGCTAAGACAGGCTGAGGGTCTGCAGGAAGGCCAGCCTGCATCATCTCTGTGCGCTGACTTCTCTTTGCTCCCCAGGGCCTCTACCCACTGCCCTTGCTCAACAGCACCCTGGACGACGGGAAGGCCACCCTGACCCCTTCCAACACGCCCTTGGGGCGCAACCTCTCGACTCACCAGACCTACCCCGTGGTGGCAGGTATGACGCCCGGAGTCTCCCTGGCCAGGTGGAGGGCGGGGGACGGCAGAGCTTGGCTGGCTGGCTGGCAGGCGCAAGGCATGTGGGGCCTGGCCTGGAGAGGAGAGGTGGGCTGTGCTGGCTGGGCCAGCCCTAGGCCGCTCCTGGGTCTCCACACTCCCTCCTGCGGGAAAGGCGGGCACACACACTCCTTCCCAGTCTCTCCATTTCACAGCAGAAGCACAGCAGGGAGGTCGAGCTTCTCTCTTCCCGCCCCTCCACCACACCTCGTGGGCCCCCAGCCCAGACCCTGACAGCAGCCGGGCCTGCCTGCCCCGCGCCCCGCCCGCACCCTCCACATCTCATGGCTTGGTTTGTGCATGTTCCCGCCCCGTCATCTCACACCCCTCTCTCCTTGTTGTCTCCCTCCCTCCGGCAGATCCTCATTCACCCTTCGCCATAAAGCAGGAAACCCCCGAGGTGTCCAGTTCTAGCTCCACCCCTTCCTCTTTATCTAGCTCCGCCTTTTTGGATCTGCAGCAAGTCGGCTCCGGGGTCCCAGCCGGTGCCTCGGTCCCGCCCTTCAATGCCTTTCCCCATGCTGCCTCCGTGTACGGGCAGTTCACGGGCCAGGCCCTCCTCTCAGGTACGACAGGGAGGTCCCGGGGCCATGCAGGCATTGAGGTGGGTGGGAGGGGGGTCCTCAGGGCCGACCACCAGCCCCCTCTCTGGCCCCAATCACGTCCACCACCACCCTATTCCCTAATTCCTCCACCACTTTTGGAGATGCCAACGTGAGGTTCTCCGTGACGGCGAAGACACGCTCGGAAGGGGCGGATGCTCTGGGAGTGCCAGGGAGTGGGATACACCACCCCAAAACCCCACGGAAGAGCAGGGACCCTAAGGCCGGGAGCCAGGTGCTGTAACACAGGGACACTTGGTCTTGGTAAACACATAAATAAATAGAAGGAAAAATGAACATTTTGGAGGGAAAAAGGCTTTGGCCTTGGAGCCAGTTTCTGGATCAAATTTCTAAAAAGGCCAAGGGTCAGACCCAGCTGTGTTTCTGTGACGTAGCTATCTTCATATCTAGCTTAACAGTGTCACCGGGATGACAGTCAGATATCTGTTAAATACGATCAATTCAGTGATTCTGCAACTTGAGAGTGGAGGGGTGGCAGACTTCCCATCAGGAACCTCAACTGCCTCAAAATATTTAAAGCTGGAAGCACCGGCTGGGCATGGGGGCTCATGCCTGTAATCCCAGCACTTTGGGAGGCTGAGGCAGGTGAATCACGAGGTCAAGAGTTCAAGACCAGCCTGGCCAAGACGGTGAAACCCCGTCTCTACTAAAATACAAAAAGTTAGCAGGGTGTGGTTGCAGGCACCTGTAATACCAGCTACTGGGGAGGCTGGGGCAGGAAAATTGCTTGACCCAGGAAGCAAAAGTTGTGATGTGCCAGGGTCACACCATTGCACTCCAGCCTAGGTAACAGAGCAAGACTCCATCTCAAAAAATTAAAACATACAAATAAATAAAGCTGGAAGCACCTGAGGGAGCCTCTAGAGCAAACCGCTTATGCTGATGAGGAAACCGGCCCAGGGAGGAAAAGGTCCCTGCCAAGGTCTCTGGGTGGAACCACCATGTGCAGCTGGCCGAGGCCTGGGCCTGCACTCCATAAGTCAGACCTCAAGGGGAGCTGGGACCCCCCTGGCAGAAGGACCTTTGCCCATCCAGCCAGGGCCTGAGGAATGGCTGAGAGTCAAGTGCTTGGCTTGGGCTAGAGAGGGCCTGAGATGCAGTGAAAGTAGGGAGTAGAGACCTGTGTGGTCTTCAGATACCTCAAGGGCTTCCACAGGGATAGAACTATTTTAGTTGTGGGCCCAGTGGGGGCCCAGGACCAAGGGAGGAAGCTGGCTAGCTCTCAGTTCAGCTTTGGAGGAATCTCTTTAATATTGCCATTGTCTCCAAGGAGTGTGGTTATTTAGTGACAGAGTAAATGCCTCCTTACCTCCCACACCCCTCTACCCCAATGACCTTGAGATGCTACAGCAGAGACCAGTGTGGGGGTGGGTGTAGGAGACGTGTCACAGAGGCAGCCCAGAGTCAGACAGTATATCTGGGACCAGTGGTTTCAAACCTGGGCCTCTCAATGATCTCTTGAAATGAAGCCTTTTACAGAAGCCATGTATCCTCACCAGACCCCTGAAGAACTCTCTTTTAGAAGGGGGCCCCTGCCCGTAGAAGGCCTTTGAACTTGAAAACCACTGCCCCAGAAGAGCAAGACCTCTACCAGCCCAGAGAAACCACAAGATCATGTGATACAAGTCCATGGACCCTTTTTTTATAACTGGCTCTACATTTTCTGTCTGTCTGGCACCTGGGTTGTTTTTTTCTTTTTTTTCCTCTGTGCATCCCTGCACCTAATGTGAGGAGTTTTCTTAGAAGAGATGGACACCTAGTATGCGAGCAGAGAGATGGTGTTTAAGGGTCTAAAGCAAGGAAGAAAATGTTGACGCAGAGTTCAGGAATTCAAGAGGGTGAAGTCAGCAGAGATGGGTCATTTGTTTTGACCAAAGTGATTAGAGGAGAAAAATCTGTGAGCTGAGTAAAATTATGTCAGCCAGAGAAAATGGGAATGGGGGAGGGAAGGGAAAAAGAAGGGAGGGGAGGGGAGGGGAGGGAAGGGAAGGAGAGGGGAGGAGAGGGGAGGGGAAGGGAGGGGAGGGGGTGAGCAGAAGAGGCTCACATCAGTTACAGGGAGATACACAAGCCTGAATATCTCCTGAGAATGGTGGGCCAAGGCTGGGGATGGTTGTGGAGCAGGCAAGGGGTGAGGGTATGGTGGTACTCATGATGATGGGGAGCAGTTGCTGTGCAAGTCACAGAGAGGCTTGGCAGGACCAGCTGAAGTAGAGGGAAGGATGTAGGGTGGCTGGAAGGCAGCGGATAGAAGCATCAGAGTGCAGACGTAGGCTGTTGTCTAAGTGTAATTGGAACAGCCCAGGGCAAACTCCCTGCTCCCAAAGCCCTCACACTTTGTCCCCTCCCTGTCATCCTGTTAGAGCTATAAGCATCCCCTATCAACATGCAGTCAGAGGTGATGCTTCCAACTACTGTCAGCTGTTAATGTAGTAGCCATACCCACTCTCCAGGCCAACTGCAGGACTGAGAGGTCACCCAATCCATGGGACAAAGCAGCTGGCAGCAGACACCTGGTGGTCATGGAGGCAGCAGGAAGCCGGCAGCCAAATCTGCAGCACCGGCATGTCTGTCAGGCAGGTGGCCCTCAACCCAGGCCCAGATGATGCTGAAGTGCAGGTGTGAGCACTTCGAAGGTTGCTGGCTGGTTACAGAGCCCCCTAGCCCGAGGGTTGACAATTCAACACAGAGGCAGTGGCTCTGAAGAGTGAGGAGTGCTAGGCTTGTAGGAACTGGGATCCAGGCAGATGGCCAAGAGTAGGAAGCAAGTCAGAAAGTGGATCAGGCACAAGCCGGGGGATGGCTGGTGCCCATGCTGAGCTCAGAGTGTTGTCCTGGAGCTGCTTACAGGCTGTCCACCTGAGGCCTCTGGTAAAGACCGGACCTCAATATCTAACATGTGGCTCAGCCATGGTGAGAGGACTGGGAGGACATGACGGGGTGGGAGAAGGTTAGGAAGGGAATGGTTCCAAGAGCACAGGAGGCTGAAGACCTACCCAAGGGAAGAAGAGGTGAATTTGAAAGAAAGAGAAGGAGGTAATCCCAGCACTTTTGGAGGCCAAGTCGGGTGAATCATTTGAGGTCAGGAGTTCAATACCAGCCTGACCAACATGAAGAAACCTCGTGTCTACTAAAAATACAAAATTAGCTGGGCATGGTGGCGCATGCCTGTAATCCCAGGTACTCGGGAGGCAGAGGCTGGAGAATTGCTTGAACCCAGGAGATGGAGGTTGCGGTGAGCCAAGATTCCTCCATTGCACTCTAGCTTGGGCAACGAGAGCGAAACTCCATCTCAAAAGAAAGAAAAAAAGAAAAGGAAAGAAAAAGAGAAAGGGAGAAAGGGAGGGAGGGAGGGAGGGAGGAAGGGAGGGAGGGAGAAAGGAAGGAAGGCAGGCAGGCAAGCAGAGGCCACAATATTCCTAGGTAACACTGCAGACCAGGGGAGAGGAGGGAGGACCCAGTGAGATTTCGTCGCATAATCAGCTCCACTTTAACCTGCGTGAACCTTCCACGCCCTCTGAGTGACTCCCAAGGACCCTCGCTGCCATCTCCTGCGACTCCTTTACCTGCTTCACGGTTTCTCTCTGAGCCACTTCTTTCGGCCCCGTGGCTCTGACACTGTGATTTCCAGAGTGACTATCCTCCTGAGTCTCAGCTTGTCCCCAGTCAGCCAAGAAAAAGGAAGTAGCAGCGTTTGGGGAATAGCAAGATTGCCACTAACATTGCTGCCAGTTCCCTTTGGAAACCCCAGTCTGGAGTCCCAACACACTGGCCAAGACAGCAATGTCGAGGCCATCCTGGTCCCAGCTGCTCTGGGACTGACTCCAGCTCAACTCAAAGGAAAGCTCTAAGTTAGGTTTTATCATCAAAGAGTCCATTCCCCTCCTCCATCCTTTTGTACAAAATTATATTTAGTACTGCCAAAGAGATTTCTGGGTTGCCATAAATTCTCCTTGCTATCAGAACAAGATAAGGAATTGAAAAGGGGTTATATGGAGGGCAGACTTCAAAGGGGGTGAATAAAATAGTCTGAAATCACCTCTACCCTCTGAATTCCTCCAGGCAATAGCTTTCTGATCCTGGTCTCTACCAATACTTAGAATATTTACCAATATTTCAAGGGGTGGGGGCAGCTAGCGTTTTCTTAGAGAGCTCCACTCCATAACCAGTCAACATCAGCCTGTGTTTTATGTCCACTTCTTAAAAATAGGACCACATTGGAAGGATACCTGGGTGTAGAGGAGATGGAATTCACAGCAGGGATATTTTATGATGAAGAGTCTTAAAAACAGAGAAGTAGATAAGAGGGCATGGTTAGGCCATGATGGAATGTTTCCACGTCATGGCTTCTGTGGTTTTGTTTCTAAGAAGGCTTGCAAGGCTCTTGGCTTTTTGGAAGAAACTATGCATTTAAGCAATTGGAGCAAAGAGTTTTGCAGGGCTGTTGGGAGAGTTTATGGTCCCACAGTCTGGGTGACAGCCGTCCTGAAGAAAGTCTTACCAGTCTTTTCAGGAAGACCAGCTTTCGTGGGAGGAAGCCTTAGGCGTCTGTTCTAATGTTTGATTCAGAAACCTCTACCCCATTGGGAAGACAATAGGTGACTGAGGGGAGATGAAGATTAAAATCTTAGAATACAGAGGAGTAAGACTGATGAATTCCATTTGTGAGAGCAACGTGGGGGCTAGTTCTCATGCGGTGGAGCCTCATGGGGGCACCTTGGACCACATTCAGCTGTGTTGTAAGGAAGTATGCACACTGGAACGCTGCCTGCTACTCTGCTAGGCTCAGGTAGTGGAAAGGGAGGGGACAGGATGAGGTGGGGGGAGGGGAGTGCAGGGCCACAGCTGCCAGGCCAGAAGCACCCTGCAGGGCACAAGGCCAGCACCAGCAAACAGGTCACCTGGAGCCAAGACCACCTCCCACTGTCCCCCCCAACCCCCCATCATGGCAGACACGGGTGCCTCAGAATCCTTCTCAATACCAGGTGCCAGGAAGCCCCTACCGGTCAATCAAGTAGTCAGCTGAATCCAGTTTACAAGCTGAAATCTAAACTAGTTCCTTATGTGACAGGCAGGAAGATGTGTTTCAGAGAATGAAGTGCTGTCCTTCATCCAGGGTCCGGCCTGGATCTAGAGTTCCCTTTCTCTTTCTCTCTCACAGAGGAGGAAGTAGGTAGGGAGGGAAGAGAAAAGAAGGAAGCAGGCCTGAATCAGCCACCACCCTCTTCCATCGCTCTCCCTTCACCACCTATCCACGCCATGTGCTCCTGCTCTCACAGACTTCCTATCATTCTTACCCTCTTGCCTAGCCAGTGCTTCATCTGAGAGCCAAGGGAGCTGAGTTTAAGGATCTATTGTGTTGTATTCTTCTTCACAGAAAGCTCAGATTTCGTCTCAGTATAGCTTCTGTATATTTCTCCGTCTACATCTAAATATCTTAAAATTCTCTTTTCCCCTCCTGTGTTTCCAGTACTTTATTTTTTCCCTTGATGGCCTTGTGTCAGGTGAACTGAGACCCCCCTGTAGAATTCTAGTGAGTTTCACCCCATTTGGTCCCATGCTAAGCACAGCTGGACACTGCAGGAATAGTCAAACAAATTAGAAGGTGGTGTTCAGGCTTGCCAAAACGTTTGCACAGTTTTAAACAGTAAACACTGATGGCTCTTTATTCTATAGGAGTTCATTGGCATATAACCATTTCTACAATATGTCCATTGCACTAATCCATGTCCACCTGTAGCATGAAACCCTGGCTCTGAATTCTACAGATAACCTCATAGAAATTATAATAAGGTGCCTAAGCCTATATTATTTTTTCCCATTTTGCATATGAAGAAACTGAGTCTTGGGGCACACATGAGGCTTATCTAAGGGCACTCAGAAAGCTAGCCACAGAAGCAGTATAAGAAACCCAGGCCCCCTGATTCCCAGGCCCTGCCCTCTAGAGGAAGTGTGCCTGGTCTTGTTCATTGACCCCTTGGGCTTTGGCTCCAAATGCCTATCCCAGCCTATGTCCCTTCTTGATTTGGTGCCTGGCCTTGCTAATTTAGCATTCTGGCTTTCTGCCATATACCCAAGTGCTTAGAAAAGTGCCTAGAATGTAGTACTTACTCAATAGGTATTTGGTGAATGAACATTGTCTGGGGAATCCTCAGAAAGAGAGATAAGGAGGAGGTAATCACTGTAGAATTAGCTACTTACAGGATGTCATGGGGCCTTCCCTTCTGTCATGACCAGGCACCCCTTGAAGGGGCTGAGGTATGAAGGACCTGGGGGGGGTCTGATAGGCAGAAAGTTGAACAAGCAGTGCCATAGAAGAGATGAATTTGGTAAATTGGTTAACAGGGTCTCACATAAGTGCTGGGAGGAAAAAGTAGCCCCCAGAATGGAAGAGGTAGAAGGCATTTGGGGAAAACAGTCATAGCCCAACACAATGGTTCTTAGCCAGGAGCAATTTTGCCCCTACTACCTCCTGCTGGGGACATATGGCAATGTCTGGAGACATTTTTGTTGTCACCCTGGGTGAAAACTGCTGCTAGTATCTACTGAATGGAGGCCAGAAATGCTGCTAAACATCCTACAGTGCACAGGACAGCCTCCTACAGCGAGGAATTGTGCAGCCTAACATGCCAATATCACTGAGACTGAGAAACTCTGTAAACATCACCAAGAGCTAGGATGAGCACACAATTCATTAACCCAACTGGAACATTTTGAAAGTGAAATGGGCATTATTAATAAATATGCTGGGATAATGGTCATCATCTGGGTACACCTTGGCAAACCAGGATGTATTGTCACCTTGCCAAGAATCTTGGGGTGAAGGAGAGTCTGGTTGGGGCCTGCAGGACACAGGAGCAACAGAAGAGGGGCAGGAGCAAGGGGTTATGTTTATGTTTATTGTTATGTATGGTAGATGGGGGAGATGGTCACCAGGTCAGCTGGGGTCTCCAAAATGGGAAAGTGATTTCTCAATGTAGAGGAGAAGCAGAGCCAGGAAATGAGGTCTTTATAGAGCTGACTTGGTGTCACCAAGGTGGGAGTGTGACCCACAAGCTATAGATAAACAGAGAGATTGGTGTTTGTTTTGCCAAAAATGGTTCTTTTCAAAATAGAATTGACAGATATGTGGCTCATGGTGATGTAAAAGCTAAATATCTCAGCCACATTTCCTTCTAGGTCAGGGTTAGCCCATCAGTTTCCTGTCCCTTACAACTCTGACAGATTGCATCTACTTGGAAGGCCCCCTCTACTCAATGGGAAATGTTATAGTGGTTGATTATGTGACAGTAATGTCTGTCACAGGTCCTCCCCAAAATAGTGATGGGTCAGTGCGCCACATACATGCCATGCTTTCATAGAGTCTTGTTCTTAGTTCTCCTCAGAGCCAGGATAAAAGGGATGAGCTCTAAGTCAAGGGACCTCAAATGTACTTACAGAGGCCAGCTGTACCCACTGCTCTGCTGGCTGCTGTGGGGGATAACAAAGAACAGATGACATAGCCTCAGCCTCCAATACCAGGACATTCTTGTGGGTTCATGAGATAACAGTCACTTAAATAAAACCAATGGAGAACAGGAAACAATGTGAGACTGCAGTAGTAAGTGCTCCCTGCATGGTGGAGCCTCTGTCCTGCAGAAGACCAGACAGAGGTAACAAGAACTTGGGCTCAGGGGAGGAGGGGGGCAAGAGAAAGTGGATTTGGGGAATGGCTGTGGAGAGGGTGGGAATGGCATGGAGGAGGAGAGCCTCAGGAGAGTGAGATGATACATATAGAAGCCCCCATGGTTCAACTGATGACTCTTCACTGTACTTTTCCAGGGCGAGAGATGGTGGGGCCCACGCTGCCCGGATACCCACCCCACATCCCCACAAGCGGACAGGGCAGCTATGCCTCCTCTGCCATCGCAGGCATGGTGGCAGGTAAGGAGAGGGCCGGCAGGAGGGGGAGTATTGCAAAGAGGAAGTGTTGGAGCAAGGTGGGAACACGAGGGGCAAGAGGCATACTGTCCCCTATTCATAGACTTCCCGAAGGGCATTGAAGGATGGACTGAAGGAGGCATCTTCTTGTAAATGCCTGGAGACAATGTCCCAGTGCAGTCTTGACTCCCTATTTAACCTGCCCCAGCTCGGTCTCCTTCTTCTCAGGTCTGCCACATTACCCTCCATGATGAAAAGGGAGGGGCTGAGACAGACGTATGTTCAAATCCAAGCTCCACCACTTCTTCCAGTGAATCAGTGGGCATAAAGGTAGAATGCTCTAAGGGCCCCAAAACACTGAGTGGAAGATGAGCCTTGCCGTCAAGCAGAGCTGGTCTCCCAGTGATTTAAATCTGATGAATCCCAGTTTTCTGCTTCTGTAAAATCTGAATCTGAAGGGTATTGATGAGGATAATGATGAAATATATGCTTCACATCACTCTCACTCAACCCTGCATGGATAGGACCTGGGTTCTAGGTACTCTCAGAGTTCTATAGACGATGAGATGAGCCTGGAGTAGCATTCCATCCTCATTTGGACTGTCCTGGAACCTGCCTGCCAGTCATTTGGGTTTCTTTGTCTGCCACTCATCATCCAATGATGATTCAAGTTGACAATTCTGGACAAATGAAGATAATGGGAGTTTCTCTGAGCAAGTCTCAAATTTTTAGGAGCCATATAGGAAAGACTTTGTGATGGAGGAAGCATAATAGAGCCATTTTCACTGGTCAGAAAGGCCTGGGACCTGGAGTTTCTGGAAAGAGCTCTGAACTCAAGGCATCTGTGACCCCCATGCCAGTCCTAGGCCAGCCTCTCTAGCTCTGACCCCAGAGACTTGGCATATTTACCCAGGCCTGCTTCCCTTCCTCCCTGGAAGGAGTTAATCTTTGCCAGCCACCCACTCTGAGCACCCTATGCAGAGGCAGGTGGGCTGGGATCTCCTGGGCAGAGGGAAGGGAGGGAGAGAGGGAGGGAGGGAAAAAGGCTCTGTGCTCCCTGGGAACCTGCTGAGCTGGCACTTGTTGCTGCCTGGTTACCGTGGCGATGTGCTTAATGCAGCGTTGAAAATACAGAATACTGACTCCTCTCTCCCTCCTGGCCCCGGACTCCCTCCCTCCCTCCCTTCCTCTTCTGGAGCGTGAAATGAGATTGGTCAAGATAAAAAAGGAAAAGATTCGGTTATTTTTTTAAGAGTGTGGATAATGGGGCCTCTCAATCAAAATCCCAGGCTCCAGTCGGCTCCCCTGATTCCCCTTCCAACCCCTCCACCTTCCCCTGCCGCCTGCTTAGAGGAGGAGGAAGAAACATAAAGCACAAGGCTTTTTTCTTAATTTTGAATCATTCCCTGAGGGCAGGCCCAGGGCAAGGGGTTCCTGGGGCCCAGAGTCTGACCTGTGAGGAAGCTGGAAAGCGTGGGCCTCTCATCAAAGTCCCCCAGGTTGTTTCCAGAAAGAATCCTGAGTGAATGCTGTGAAAAAGAAAAAAATAGCACAGCTAGGACATTGACTGCAAGTGAAATCCACAAAGGAGGGATCTTGCCCTACACTGTGGTTGGGCTTCCAGTAAGTTCCATGAAATCAGTTTTTAGAAAATACAGTACTATTTAAATGAATCACTTGGTTCCTAGGAACAGCACTGCACAAATGATTTCTTAAAGAATTTTTTGTGGAAAAATTATATGTCCATCTCTTACCACTGCCTGCAATCTCCCAGTTGACTGAATGGGGATTCCTGCAATTAAAGTGAATAAGCTTTCATTGAGCATCTATCGCATGCATGTTAGGTACATGATAAATATTCAAAGCAAGGCATGCCAAAGACATTCAACAATCTGTTGTGGAAGGAAGAAGTGATTGCTTGTTCTGCACTTCTGCATGTCTGGCCATTCAAATACATATAACTTTATTTCTAATTTTACCCTGACCGTGAGACTGAGAGGCTGATACTATCCCAGTTTTATGGATAAGGAAACTGAAACAAAAGCAAAGTGGTGTGCTCAGGGTCATAGTCATACTAAGTGGTTGAATTATGCAAACACAGGCCTTTCAATTTCAAGTCTAAGACTCTTTCCACTACACCATACTGTCTCCTACCATACCAGAAATTAAAACACAAGCCTCAAGACAGCAGCACAGGAAAAGGGCTAGAACAGATTTCCCTAGTCTGTTTGCCTTCTGTTTCTCTTTTATCTTATCTTATCTTATCTTATCTTATCTTACCTTACCTTACCTTACCTTACCTTACCTTATTTTTTGTTCTGGCTCCATTAACACAGTCAATGATTTTCAACCAGTTCTAGAGAAGAACCAGAAGCTCCAGATATCTGGATCCATCCTGTCATCTATCTTCCTTTCCACTCTTTCATCTTCCCATACATTTTTCTACACATCCATGCATTTTCCCATTCCCATCTATCCTTCCATCTTTTTTTTTTTTTTTTTTTTTTTTTCGGAGATGGAGTCTTGCTGTGTCACCCAGGCTGGAGTGTAGTGGTGCAATCTCAGCTCACTGCAACCTCCACCTCCTGGATTCAAGCAATTCTCCTGTCTTAGCCTCTTCCTGAGTAGCTGAGACTACAGACACTTGCCACCATGCCTGGCTAAATTTTGTATTTTTAGTAGAGATGGGGTTTCACCATGTTAGCCAGGTTGGTCTCGAACTCCTGACCTCAGGCAATCCGCCCACCTCAGCTTCCTAAAGTACTGGGATTACAGGCATGAGCCACTGCGCCTGGCTCCTCCATCCATCTTTTAATTCATCTGTCTTTCCAGTTATCTATCATCTCTTTCCATCCATCCATCTTTCCATCAATCCTTTTATTTTCCATCCATATTCATTTATCCATTCATCTTTTCATATAACTATCCTTTAATCAATCTATTCATCAATGCTTTCATCATCCATCCTTCCACCCATCCATCCTCTCATACATCCATCTTTTCATCCCACTTTCAATCTATTCTTCCATTAATCTATCCATCTTTCTATACATCCTTTTATCTATCCATCTTTCCATCCATCTTTTCACCCGTCCATCCTTTCATCATCAGTCCTTCAATCATTCACGCTTTCATTCATCCTTGCATCCTTCCATCCATTCACCACTTTTTTCTCTTAACAAATACTGATTGAAGGTCTATTATATGGGATGCTTGGGATACAGACATGAATAAGTCAGATTCCTTTATTCTTGGAGCTTACAACCTAATGGTGAAGAGAAATGGACAGTAAATAAGTCATTGAATGTATAAACATAATAATTTATTGTCTGTGAAGACAATCAAATGGGATGATGTAATAAAGATACACAGGGTAAGGAGATAACTACTTTAGATTGGGTTGTCAGGGGAGGCCTCTCTGAGAAGGTGTTCAAAATGACCAGCCAAGTGGTAAACTGGGACAGACCATCCCTGGCCCGAAAGGACAGCAAGAGCAAAGGGCCTAAGGCAGGAACTAGCTTAGCAGGTAGCACATAATTGGTAATGGCTGGGTCAAGTTTGAAGAGGCCACTCTGATCTCTGGGGAAATGAACTGTAGATAGTCAAGAGAGAAAGCACAAAGACCAGTTAGGGGACAGTTGCAATAGTTCTTGCAAGAAATGACAGTGGTTTGAGCTAGGAAATTGGCAGTGGAGGAGGAAAAAAGAGACCCTGGAAATATATTTTGGATGAAAAGCCAGCAAGCCTTGCTGGTGGATTGGCTGTCAGGATAAGGAAATGGAGGAAACAAGGATCACCTGTAGGTTTGGGCATGGATGGTGGTGGCAAGTATATATGTGGGAGACCAGGAGGGGAAGTTATGTAGTAGAGGGCAAGTGGAAATCAAGAGTTTTTTGGGCCATGTTAGGATTGAGATGCCTACTAAATATCCAGTTTTAGTAAGTTAGTAGGCACATCATGTATGTCTGAAGCCAGCAAAGAGTCCTGACCAGAGTATAAACTTCAGCCATTGCACAAAGCTGTCATTTAATGCCAACGGATTAGACAAGACTGCTAGAAACCAAGCCTGGGGTTCTTTAAAATGATTTAGAGCTTTAACAGAGAAGGAATGGCAAGGAGAATGAGTAGGAAAGAAAACTGAGTTACAAAACAAACAGAAGACTGGGCGTCACAAGCCCAAAGGCATGGAGAGAGGGATGAGCTAAAAAGTTAAGGGAATTGTGGATACAGAAGTGACCATTGGAATGATGGAATTAGAGACTGTGGGGATTTGAAGGGATCAGAGCTAGCGTGTGGGAAGGGATAAGAAGGTGAAGGCAGAGATCGGGACAGAGAAAGGCACTGGTAGCTAGAGAGGAATGTGGGGTAGGAAGGGGATTTTTAAAGATAGAAGATAGCAGAGCATGTCTGCAGGGTGAAGGGAGAGACTGATGAAAAAGAAAATGAGATTGTTGAAGGGACCAAATCCTTGATGCAGAACACAGAGGCAGGGTTGGCCTTTCATCGGGGGCAGAGACGTTTCATCTGCTGTAACTGCAAGCAAGTAGGCACATCAGGTGACGGGAAGATGCCACACCCAGGTGTACACTACCTACTGAGCCCCATCCCCTGCCCCAGGTTCCATGTGAATGAGGTGCTCGGTAAATGGTAGTTAAATACATAAATAAGTGGGTGAGTGAGTGAATGCATGAGTGAATGACAAAATGAGAAGGTAAACACATCATGTTTTCCACCTCTCTCCCTTGTCCTTTAGAGCTTGCTGTGTTCACCATGGGGTAGGGGTTCGCCAAGGTTCGAGGGCCCTTGCTATGCAGCCAATAGAGAATTGGGTGAAACCAGGGAGACCTGGACTAAACAGGGGGCAGTTTGCACTGTGAGATGCAAGAGAGCACCAGTGTGGAAGGACGGGGCCAGGGTTCTAGTTCAGGCTTTCACTGAACACATGGTCTTGGGCAAATGTCTTTCCTTCTCTAAGTAACGGATGTGTTATCTGCTAAATAGATGTTTAGATTAAGTTGTTTCTTAGTTTTTCGTCTGTTAAATAGATGTTTAGATTAGATTATTTATTAAGTTTTTTTCTTTGCTTTTTTCCTTCTTTACTCCCTTCCTTCTTTTACCCGTATTTTTTGCTTGATCTACATTAGACTTAGTCTCTGCCCCTAAGAAACTTCCTTACTGTGTCCTTAGCCTGTCATTGACTTCCTAGGCAAGGAAAGGATCCAAAGCCTTTCTCTGCTTCAGGCTCCTCCTCTTCATCTCTCTCTTCTTCCTGTATAAATGCCTATTTGTCTGGCAATAAAGCAGCTCCCATTAACCGTAATCCAGGCCTTAAGACTAGATGACTGATTTAAGGTTGGATGACTGATTTAAGCCTCCATTGAACTTCATTTTCCCACCTGTTTAATGAGAAAATAATAGAAGCTTACATTTATTGAGCACTGTGTGTATATTTGAAGGGTGGTGCTAAGCATTTAATACATATTTTCTCATTTAGTTCTCATTAAACCAAATAAGATAGGGATAATTATTTGGCCCGCTTTACAGATGAGGAAACCAAGGCTCACCTTTAAGTCACTCACTCAGCGAAGCTAAGTGACTTGTCCAAGCTTACACGACCAGGAAATGGGAAGTGTGGATTTGACTCTAGACAGGTCGGCTCTAGGGTCAAGGAGTTTCGAGCAACCCCTCCAGAGAGTCTGGGAAGGAGACTCAGAACCACAGAAGAGATGTAGCTCACAATCGTATATGGGTTTCTGAAAGGCTGGGTAGACATTCATTGGGTCTCAGGATTGGCAGGAATCTAACTTTGTAAATGGAATCATCTCATAAATGAATAAAGGGATTACCTGCAATTTAGCGTCAAGAGCCCTAAGGTTGAGTTCTGCTCAGAAATTTAACAACAATGTGATTTGAGGAAAACTACTTAATCATGCTGCACTCCAGTTTCCTTTTCTATAAATTGGTAGTATCCATGAGTACCTCATTAGAGTTAACTGTGAGAATAAAAGATCATAGTGTGTGGGAAAGCGCCTTACAAACTTTAAGCTCTACACCAAGCACCAGTAGTAGCTGTGGTGGTCAGCTTGACTTTTTTTTTGTTATGTAAGGGAATTCTTAAGTAATTTCTTCCATAAAGAATTCCTTTGGAAAAGTCAAGAATCCATTAATAGGAGGAGATGATCTGATTTACTTTGTGTAAATTTATGTGCTGAGTTTGCTTAAAGTGGCAGACTCGGGATGGGACAACAAACTACTCCAAGTCTCAGGACACAGCTTCCCGGAAGGTGGGTGCCCTCCGGGGCTCTCCCTCCTCTCCCATCCTTAGCCCTCACACCTCCTCTCACCGCCCATGCACACACACATACTCAACATAATCATACCTAGGGAGGCTAAAAGGTTCATATAGACAGATTTCCTCTTTCCCTCTAGCCACATACCCTTGCTGTGGGGCCCTCCCAGAAGAGCCCTTCTGCAGGAAGTCCAGGCAGCAGTAGAAGGAGCAGTTAGTCCCCGGGCCCTAGAGTCACAGCCCAGTTTTGGAGTTCCACCAAACCCTCCAGCTCTGGGAGCTTCTGCAGATCTCAGAGCCTCAGTTTCTCCATCTGTAAAATGGGGATACTTATAACATCTACCTTCTGGGCCTCCTGGGAGGGCTGTAGTGTGTCAAGGCAGTGCCTCCAATACCTATGGAAAAGGACACTGCCCCAGGGTACCCAGGCTGATGGGTTCCCAAAGGGATGACAGAGGGCTCTTCTGAGCTCCACTGTCCCTGCTCCTGGCTCCAGCTATACCCCCACCGTTCCTGAGCTTGCCCACTGCCAGCCCTGCCGACCTCCCCATGCCCCAGCCCCACATTGGTGCACTTCACCTCACAGGCCTCTCTCCTGTGTGCCTCCAACAGGAAGTGAATACTCTGGCAATGCCTATGGCCACACCCCCTACTCCGCCTACAGCGAGGCCTGGCGCTTCCCCAACTCCAGCTTGCTGAGTAAGTGCCTGGGGCCGCCCAGGCCTTCTGCTGGGCAGGATGGATGGTGTGGTGGGTGGCAAGGGTGGGTCAAAAGTCACCCAAAAGCTGGGAGGCCTCAGATTATACAGAGGGTCTGGGAGATGGTGTTGTTTGTAATGGAAGAAGGCAGCAGGGGGGGCAGTGTACCTCATTGTTTGGGGAAAGAGGGCCAGAAGTCCATAGACTCCCAGACACTGGTTTCCCTCCTGCTTCTCAAGGCCATGTCTTTCAAATCTTTGTTTTGTGTGAGATTCAGGGCTCAGGCCTTGAAGGGGTGGGCAGAGGAGGACTTGAGAAAAGCCTAGGAGAGGACCTCCTCCCTCTCGGGCAGCTTACAGCCCCACAGTGCAGACACTGGCGCAGGTCACCCTGCCAGAATGCAACTGCCCTCCTTCCTGGGACTGTCGCCCCCATCAGCCATCTAACTGGCTCACAAATACTCATCAGTCAGCACCAAACCCTTACGCAAAAATCCTTTGTTCCACTACATTCCCCATATTTAGCTTGAGATGCAGATCGCATTCAGGGTCGAGGTCCAGAGACTGAGCTTCAGTGAGCTCACAGGCTTCTCTTCACCCCTCCCTTGTCCTGGGGTCCTGGACTGGGAAGAGAAGTTTTTCAGCAAAGCAAAGTTCCGCCAATGGGATACTTGAGTGATCTCACTAGAGCCTCCCTGAATGGTGACCTCGTGGGTGTCAGAGCAAACCTGAGCCAGGCAGAATCAGTGACCCAAGGATGGCTGACCTCACAGGCACCACTGCAGGCTAGGAACCATCCATACCCCAAGACCCCCTCTCTTCCAATTACTTTCTTGTATTCCAAAAATAACTTGGAAGGTGGCAGACCTGGGCCGTGTTTGCCAGATGAGTTCACCTCCAACCCACCTTTCCATTCAATTTAGCCACAAAAGACCAGAGCATTCAGACATGTCAGGGTTCAGGTACCTTCCCACTGAGTCTCCCCAGGCAGCCCATCCTACAGGTGTGCAGAGCCTCACCTTATGGGCCCTCAAGCCCAGATCCCTTTGACCCCTCTGCATCTAATCCTCCTGGATCTTAAGAGAGAAGACTCTCTGTCCTGGCACTGTTTGGGCAAGGCGAGGGAGGATCCTGATGACCCCTCAGTGCACTTGATTCTTTGGGGTTCCACATGCAATTGTTTTCTATTGCTCTCTCCCTGCAACGAGGGTGTTGAAGGTCAAAGCAGCCATAGGGGGAAGGGGCAAGAAGCCACTGTTCTCATTCTGGCCAGAAACTCAAAGGTGAGGCCAGAGAAGGAGGAAATAGGGCTGGAGAGGAGTTAATCTTTGATGATCAGATAGACCAGAAAAATGAATGATTAACTTGTGTTGTCTTAAAGGTCAGCAGATGCAGGGAAGGCTATGGTGCAATTTTCCTTTCTGACCAGCAGTGTTGTTGTTATTTTTTTTTAATGTGTCCAGGTTCCCCATATTATTACAGTTCCACATCGAGGCCGAGCGCGCCACCCACCACTGCCACGGCCTTTGACCATCTGTAGTTGCCATGGGGACAGTGGGAGCGACTGAGAAACAGGAGGACTTGGCCTGGGACAGGCCCCAGAGAGTCACACAAAGGAATCTTTATTTATTACATGAAAAATAACCACAAATCCAGCATTGCGGCACACTCCCTACATGGTTAATTTAATGAACCATGAAAGACAGGATGACCTTGGAGAAGGCCAAACTGTCCTCCAAGACTCCTTAATGAGGGGCAGGAGTCCCCGGGAAAGAGAACCATGCCATGCTGAAAAAGACACATTGAAGAAGAAATTTAGCCCCAGCCGGTGCCCACCAAAGGAGAGAAGAAGGAATAGCCGAGGAACTTGAGGGGATGGCAAATGGCTCCTGCCTGGGCCCAAGGAGTGCACAGGGCACCTCCATGGCTCCATTATTAACACAACTCTAGCAGTTATGGACTGTAAGCACTTCCCTCCAGCCCACAAGTCACAGCCTGGAGCGGAGGCTCTCCTAACCCACCACCCGGGGAGTCACCTCCCTCAGCCTCCCACCTGCTCCACACTGAGGCTCTCGCTGTCCTCCTTATCCACTCCACTTGCTTGGTTCTTTCTACACCTCCCTCTTGGGCATGGGCTAAGGGCTGGGGCGAGTCCCTCAGAAATTCCACCAGGCTGTCAGCTGACCTCTTTTGCCTGCTGCTGTGAATGTGCAGCCCCACCCCAGGTCCTCCAGCAGTGGGGCATCCCCTTGGCAGCTACCATTAGCCACACCAGCCCCAGGCAGCTTAAAACAGACATTCCACAGGGCCTGGGCCGCTTCGAGGTGAGGTGTGGTGTGCAGCTGCACCCAGAGCAGAGCAAGGCAGAATCGCAGGGAACCCGCTCCCCATCCCAACAGCTCCTGCCAAGCCAAGAGGGCTTCCTGCAGCTCACGACCACCAGCTACTGAAGAGACCCAAGGCACCGCCTGAAGCCAGCAATAGAGGGTCCCTTTCTGCTCTGCTCTCCGGCAGCTCCTGCCCCCAAGGCCTGACTGTATATACTGTAAATGAAACTTTGTTTGGGTCAAGCTTCCTTCTTTCCACCCTCAGACTTTGGCCTCTGAAATGTCTCTCTGCCACGTGGGGCTTCTCTCCTTGATGCTTCTTTCATTTTTAAAGACAACCTGCCATTGCCACATGACTCAATAAACCATTGCTCTTCATCTCGGGCTTTGGGGTTGGCTGGGAAAGGAGACACCTCAGGGCCGGGCTTTCTCCCAAGAACATTAGAGTTGAGTAGTTGACAAAGTCACTTTGGGGCCGTGGGTTGGAGGGGACCATCTAATGCCCCAGAGCCCTGGCTTGGCCTTCTCCCTCTGCCTTTAATTGATGTTGAACGAGGGGTACCTCACTCATCCCAAGTTCTTCAACACTCAGTAAATGCAAAGAGGGCACAATGTCAAGCCGATCATAGACTCCCCACAAAAAGTAGCTGTTGTTATTAACAAGAAACCAGAGAATCAGCAGGGTGGATTGGTGAAGGATCCGGGAATAGCCATGACTAGAGCCTGCATAAACAGCTCTGAAGGGAGAGAGAAGACGGGGCTCTCCTGTGTGCCAGGCACAGTATAGAGGGCTTCATAGGAGTTAAGTTGAAATTAGCCCTGTTTTACATACAGCCTCATTTTACATATTGAGGAAACTGGAAACTGACGTTCTGAAAAAAGTGAAATGACTTGCCCAAGATGAGAAGTAGTAGATTCAACCAAGTCCTCTTACTCTAAGTCCAGCACTTTTACCCAAAACCCCAGAGTCATCAGGGACGCCAAAGAGTTCTAGACCCAAGGGAGGTTCTGGAGTTGCCACTGGGGATTTCAGTTCTTTTGATTTGCTAAAGATTTGACCTGACTGAATGGAGAGATACAGTGTGGTGGGGCCCGGACACAGTGAGCGAGGCTGTAGAGACTTAGGACTTTAGGACAGCCCCCTCCAGGAAACTTGGGAAATGCAATGTGACAGCTTGGACTCTGCGCTCCAGGGAGCTATCTGGTATTCACATGGACCCTCTCCGTGTGGGACCCAGCTGGAACAAGGGGGCAGGGGCCTGCAGCTGGCATGCCCAGGTGAATGTGGAGAGCTGGACAGACAACGCTGGGGTTGAGTCGGGGTGGAAGGGGCCCAGGGACTCCAGGGCTGCGAGAACAGAGGCTGGGAGGCAGGGATCTTACCTCCTTAGGCCTCCCAGAGAGAGGTTAGGGATGCTGTCCTGGATGGCATGGGAGGGGGACCAGGAAGAAAATCCATGTCTTCGGAGGGGGTCCGAGATGCGGCTGTTTTTTCAATGGCAGGACTTCCCTCAGCAGTGAGACTCCGAATCTATGATATCTGAGAGTCTTCCTGAGCTCAAACCTCTGGGATCCAAGTGCTCCCTACCCAAGAATCACTTTGAGATGTACAGCATCCCAGTGAGCCTGTACAGCGATCCCCTGCATTCGCAGCCACAACCCCTCTGGTGACAATCTGTACCCCAAGCAGACACTTTCCAACTCACAACCAGCAAAGGAGCGTGGGCTGTGCTTTGGCTAAGGTGACTGTGGTTTAAAACTCACCCTTCTTTCCCTGAGGTGAGCTGGACTTGCCAGGATGCTCTGCTTGGAGTGGGTGTTGGGTCACTGTGGGATGTGGCCCCATGCAGTAGGCCTTGGCTAGTACCTATCCAATATTCTGCCCATGGTCAAACCATGGTTCCCCTTTTGGGGCTCAGAAAATAGGGTCATTTATGTATTGGGTGAAAGACAGACAATTCAAAGTGCCCCAGCATTTGGGGTGGTGTTGGGAGGAATCAGGCTGGCACATGGGGTGACACAATGAAGAAGGGTGTGACAAGGACAGAGAGGATACGTAGGGGGCTTTGTGGATTGGCTGAGGAGCCACTTTCACCTGGAGGAGTGAGGCCGGCATCTGCAGGTGGTCGCAGGTGAAGGGGGGTTGCTTTATGGTGCAAGGGAGTCAGGGGCCCTCTGGGGGTAATATGTGTCTTGGTAGGAGAACTGGGGATGAGGCATGGACCCAAAACATTCCTGAGGCATTGAGGGCACTAAGGTCCCATCCCTTCCCCCTGGAATATTCCCTTTACTGCTCATGTAAAGAGACCACCTGAGCTTCCCAGGCAGTTTGCCCTGAACGTCTCCCTGGTCCATTACCTTCACTCCCCCTATTCCTCAGGTTCTAGCACAGGCCAGGCCAGCCCAGGGGGCTAGGAGCTTGCAGGAAATTCATGTGGACCAACCAACCTGGGCAGGGCAGTGGGTTTCTTGCTAGGAGAGGGGACAGCTGGAACCCTGCCCGGGTCCCACCAGATGAGCAGAATTGCTGACCCTGTACTCTCTACCGCAAAATTCCAGGGGTAGAGTCAGCAGAACTGCGAGTCCTCACCTACAAGCCAGCCCCCAGGCCGATTCCAACCCCTCCCCTTGTTGCACCTTCTCTCACTTCCCCAACATTCTTGCCATGAGTTGTAACTAAGAAACATATATCTTCTGCCTTGTATGTGCCAAACACACACTCAACCCTGAGGACAACTTCAGGCAAGAGGAAGTAGTGAAATCAACTGGAAATGGAAGGAGCGGGCTCCAAATAGAAACAGAAAGACAGAGAGTCTGAGGCCCTTACTAAGATGTCCCCACCGCCGCCTGTCCTCACCATCCTCCCACTTCCATCACCCAAAATACACACAACTTTCCCATCCATATCAACATGAGGCACCTTTAAGATAATTCACACTTTCTTGTCCTTTGGGAGTGGGCACCAGAGGAAGGGGACTGCAGACTTCAATGCCATCATTACTGGGCCTGGGCATCAGCATCAGCCCAGTCAATCAGGGGAGAGGGAGGTGGAGGGGCAGGATTGAGCTCCCTCCCAGGCAGCTCCTGCACCCACAGCGTAACAGCGCTGCCCTGCCTCAGCCTCAGAAGTGATAATAACTCTCCACTCAGGCTTAGTTTCCTTCTCCATAAGAAGCCTATTCACATCCATTTACATCTCTGATTCTGAACATTGGTCCCCTTTTGTTTTGCACTTGGGGAATCAGAGACCAAAAGATAACGACTTTTTCAAGATCATTCAGTCAGAGGAGCAGAGGAGCAGAGACCACAGCCAGGCCCCTAATCCGAGGCCTGATCTGCATCCTATTGTCAGGCCTCAGATATCTGGGAATGACCAGGCTTCTGAGAGACCTCAGACACCCTTTGCTTTGCAGGGAGGGGCAGAAGTCATTTGGCTAGTTAGGACACAGTGACTTCTGCTGCCCCTCTCTGTAAAGCGTGACTGGACACAAGGCCCAGAGCTCAGCAGAAGAAACACTGGGGCCAGGCAGAGCTGTGCCAGACTGATCTCAGACCTCCCTCCATCCTTGGCCCTAAATCTCCCTTCAGGGTGCCCTTTAGCAGCCCCTCTCTAAACTTTAGGGTCATAAAGCATTTCCATGTTCCATAAAGGAGCTGGTGGCTCCTCTGCCCAGGCTGCTGTGCTACCGTCAACACCAAGTGACCCCAGCCACCGTGACTGTGGTTTTCATGGAGGAAACTCCCTCTCTCTCACTCTGTCTCCTTCCTTTGTTCATTTCTTTTCGTTTTCTAGTCTTTTTCCTTTTCTGCTGAGTCTATAGCAATTATTCCTTTCCCTACTGTTTGAGAGACATTTGTGTCTCCAGGGCTATGAATGAGGGAAAGAGCAAGGGAATGTTTGGGGAGAGCTTGGAGTCCCTGACCGTGCTCAGGAAATGCCAGGAAGCATCTCTCCTCCCTCTCTCCAGCTCTCTCTCCCTGTCACCCTCTCCCCTTCACCCTCCCCACGTCTCCCTCTCCCCTTCCTCCTCTCCCCATGGCCCTCATCCCATGGCCGTCTCCTTGGCTGCTTACTCTTCTCATTATTGTCTACAGCTCCTATGACTCTTTGGGGGCCACTGGGACACGGAAGCTGGAGGTCATTATCTCCTCGGTGGCAGACACCTGTCCCCGCAAGTCCCCACTCTCATAGGCACATACCACCATCACCAACCCATCCCCACATCTCCATGCCCTTCACATAGAAGGAGGGGGCCTGGCTCTCCTTCCTGGAAGAAGCTGGAGAAGGCAGGCAGGGCAGACCGGTCTCTCCTTCCCCTGACCTCACCCTTTCTCCTACCCTTGAGAAGCAGCAGGGGCTAAGGCCCACGGAAGAGGAGCTCAGGCTTCCTGGAAGGCAGCAAGAGGGGTTTTGGGTGGGGAGAGAAGGGGAGGTGGGGGACCCAGCTCCTTGGCATCTGTGCCCAGTGGCAGCCGGCCAGGCTGTGGAGGGAAGCGCTGCCTGCGGCTCTCCCGGGGAAATGTGATTTCCCCCTGAGTGAAGCGGACTGTGCAGTGTGGAAATTGGCTCTTTTCTGAGCGAGCTGCGGCTGTTGCTGCGGAGTCGGGGCGGGCCGGCTGGCCCCTGGAGTGAGCCGGGAGCAGCCATGTGCTGAGAACTCATTAGGGATAAATCAAACTAGTAACAGCATGAAGCCAACACCCCCCCACCGCGCCTCCCTCCTCCACCCCTCCGAGACCCCCTCCCCACTTCCCCTCCTCCTTCGTGGTCTTCTTCCCTTCAGACTCTCTTCCGCCTTGTCCACGGCCAGGGCACCTCCCCCAGGCAAGCCACCCTCCCGCCAGTTTCAGGAGCCCGAGCTCCCGCCATGCACATAACCATGTGGGTGCGGGCTTACCCGCCTACTGCCCAAAAGCCCAGAGCCACTCCAGTGAGAGACAAGTTCATTTATAAATACCGCCTTTTTGTTTGTTTTATGTTTGTTTGCTTTTTATGGTGGAGATGGGGCCCCTGGTAGCAAGCCTCACTGCCAACCACAGGCCTTGCTGGGAGCACAGATTGGGAACTCACAGTCCAGGCCCTCGCATCCTCCCACGAAGGTCACGTCATTCCCCTGTCCTCACCTCCTAACGGGACCCAGTGGGGAGGCCCCCAGCTTTGGGTAACATTGGTAACCTCACATATATCCATCCCCCTCGGGAGACAAGAGCACTCAGAAGACTTAAGTGCAACAGGAAAGAAAGTGTCCTTAAAACAGATGATCTTGGTCAGAATGGAAACTCATTTCCCCACGGAAGGAAACAAGGAAGAGAAAGAGACAAGGAGGAAGAAAGAAGGGAGGGACAAGGCCTGCTGCAAGGAGCACTTGTGTTCATGAAGAC